GATCTAACTTTCTTGAAGTTACATTTTTAGTGCTTCTTGTAAATCCAAAATAAAATACATGTCTAATTTAATGTCTTCAAACTCAAATTTGAGAACACACATCAATACAATTGTAATAGTATAATAAATATAGTCTAACGGAGAGAAGAAATCACTGTTCGCGAACCTTCTCTGCATTAAATCACGTTGGAAGAAGTCCTTCGAAATCGGTCCTCTTTCCGCGATTCGACAGAAATAAGTATAACAAATATATACTTTATTTAGAAACTTTTTATTGAAAAACTCCAAAATTATAAAATGAAAAAATTTAACATTAACTTTTCAATTACTTTTTTTTATTAACTTAACTTTTAACTCAATTTTATTATGAATTAACTTGTATCTTAACTAAGTTAAATTTTTAGACTGTTAACTTTAATTTAACTTAGTTAAAAAAAATATTAACTTACCTGGTGTGAATCTTACAATTTTCGGTTCATATAACACCACGTGGCCGCAAATCGCGTGCTTTTCCGCAGCTCCGAACTGAGTAGTATGTAATATCACAATTAAATTGATTAAATTGAACATGAGGTGATATATTTTCGCAATAAATTTCTTTACAGATTCGGTGAGAACGGTTTGTATGTAGATGCAAGTTATTAGCATTTATTTGACGTCGCAAGGGTGGGGGGATTTATTAGAGCAAGTGAGCATCAAGTAGGATTTAAAATAGATACCTTGAGCATCGATTTATTAGATTGCCTTCGGCAATTTAACTGTGATGTTACATACTACTCGGTTCGAAGCTGCGGAGAAGCACGCGATTTGCGGTCACGTGGTGTTATATAAACCGAAAATTGTAAGATTCACACTAATGTTATACGGAAGCACCAAGACCCGGTTTGTACCGTGTTGGCGTTTTTCGATCTCAATTGTCGTTAACATTTCACGGTCTTTTCGGATACTTAATAATTTACAATTACCTTTGAAGTTGATATCAGTTGATTTACTTAAGTCCGCACTGATGGTACAAACTTTCACTTTGGAAGGTATACTTTTTGCAACTTCTTGCAATGCGTCCTTATTCCTCGCTAATAAAAGCATGCGTGAGCCTTCCTCCAGCATCGAACCAAAAGTTATCGCGATTTGGCGACCGATACCGCGACTCGCACCAGTTAGCAGCAGGAAAACTTTGCCGGATAACGCTTCGATCGACATGGTGTCTTAAGTTGCAAATTTATGAAAATTAATTAATACTCTCTATCCCTTTCGGCGTTTGCAATTCTTCCGTAATATCTTGTTTTCACTCGGTTTATTACACAGTCGTTCGAAGTATGTCTGTTTTCAGGTGCTAAACTAACTCGTAGGCTGAAAGCAAATCAGATAATGAGATAAGTTATATAACATATAAGTTCTTTGAAAAAATTATTTTATCTTAGAACATATATATATGATGACAGATATACTATATACAGGGTAAGTCATTTTAATTGACGGATCCAAATATCTGCTAAAAGACGCAAGCTACAAAAAAATGTTTCAGACAAAAGTTTTTGGACTTCGAGGGGGACATAAGATAACATTGGTTTGACCCTGAGTGGCGTCATCAAGGTCAGGACAAGGT